TTTTGGTCAATGACATGAGACAAAGTATATGTGAACTGCTGTATGAAAAGTGAATTTACTCTGTAAATCTTCACCCAAATCCTAATAAAAAAGAGGAAAAAAAAAAAGAGGCCCTCACCCAGCCCCTACAACTGGCACTTGAACTCAGACTTCCAGCAGCCTAAACTATAAGAGAATAAAACCCTATTAAAGCCTACCATTCACTTGTGGTATTTCTGTTATAGCAACACTAGAGAACCAAAACAGTGGTTTTAAATATTAGTTAACAATGAGAATTACAGATATAATAATATTGATAATTAAATTATAATACTAATTTTTTACAAACTAAGCACCTTTACTTTCTAGAGTTTATTCATTCTGAGAATGTACTTTTAAGCTTAAAAATAGCTTTCTTCATCTCTTTGTTCCTCAAGGTGTACACAACAGGGTTCAGAAGGGGTGTCAGCACAGTGTAGAAAATGGCCACCACTCCATCCACAGCATCCTTGGAGCCTGGCCTTAAATAAATGAAAAGACCAGGACCAAAGAAACAGAGGACCACAGTGCAATGGGAAGCACAGGTTTGGAAAGCTCGGTGTCTCCCCTCTGAGGTGTGGATCTTTAGGATGGAGCAGACAATTAACACATAGGAAAGCACTATCAGGAGGAAACAGTTGGAGGCCACTACTCCAGTGTTGACAAAGATCACCATCTCATTGGCAGAGGTGTCTTCACAGGCCAGTTTGAGTATGGGTGGTGCATCACAGAAGTAGTGCTGGATCTGATTGGGCCCAGAGTAAGGCAAATGAAATGTTAATATCGTCTGGACAGCAGAGTGCAGAGAGCCACTGAGCCAAGTGCTAGTGGCCAGGAGGGAACATGTTGTCCTACTCATCATTCTGATGTACACAAGCAGGTAACTGATGGCCAAGTAGCGATCATAGGACATGACTGTGTAGAGAAAACACTCAGTGCTGCCCAGGAAGTGGAAGGAATAGAGCTGGACCACACAGCTGTGAAAGGAGATAGCGCTGCCCCCTGGAGAAACAAAGGTCATCAGCATTTTGGGCACAGCGACAGTGAAGAAACACATGTCAATGAAGGACAAGTTAGCCAGGAAGTAGTACATGGGGGTGTGGAGGTGGGAATCCACCCTGATCACTAGCAAGATGAGGAGATTCCCCACCACAGTGAGTAAATAAATCAGTAAGAAGATTCCAAAGAGGGTGGTGTACAGGGCTGGTGAATGAGGAATGCCCATGAGGATGAATGTTGTCAGAAGGCTTAAATTTGACATTTCTTTTCACTTTTGATCTCTTTCTCTACAAGAAATAATATAAAGATTACACATAATTTAGTTAAGAACCAAAAACCCATTTTGTACATGGCAACTAAGTCATCCATGGTGGAGAATTCTAACCTTAAACTGGATTTAATTATAACAAAAATTCTCTGATAAAGGTAGTGGAAAGATTACAGCAGTCTCTCTCTCTCTCTCTCTCTCTCTCTCTCTCTCTGTCATTCTCTCTCTCTCTCTCCTTCTCTCTCTGCCCCCTTACTCTTCTTCTTCCTCTTTCTCCTGTTCCTTTTCCTTCTCACTCCTTTCTTCCTTGTCTATCTCTCTTACTTTTCCTTTCTCTATCTATTTCTCAGCCAGGCACACACAAGCTCTCTCTCTCTCACACACACACACACACACACACGCACACACACACACAAATAGAAACATACACAGATATATGCAATAGAAAGCCATTGTATTAGTTCTACTGAAAAATTAAAATGTATTGTCTCCCTGTGTCTATACATCAGGTCAGCTGAGTCCTCAGCTTAAGGTCTTCCCAGGTTGAAATCAAGATGTCAGCTTGGTAAAGTAGAGGGTCAGTGAAAAAGAGAAAGACCCTCAACAAGATGGATTGACACAATGGCTGAAACAATAGGTTCAAACATAGTAAAAATTGTGAGAATGGCACAGGACCAGGCAATGTTTCATTCTTTTGAGTTGGAAGTGACGTGATAGCACCTAACAACAACAGCTTAGGCTGCAATCTCATCTGAGACTCTAAAACCTCTTCCAAGCTTATTTAGGCTGTCAGTAGAATTCAGTTCCTTGATATCGTGAGACTGAGGTCCCCACTTACTTTCCAGATTTCAAAAGGTGGGGTCATTGTCAGCTTCTACAGGTCACTGTCAGACTCTGGTCATATGGTCCTCTCCCAACACGGTAGCTTACTTCTTTAAAGGCCAGTCACAGAATCTCTTTTCAATCTGCTGTGAGAATGTTATGTAATGAAATATAATCAAGGAAATGATTATCCCATAATATTGACAAGTCCCATGCAAACTCAAGGGGAGGGGATTACGCAAGGAGCATATATAGGTGTGAAAATCTTGAGAGTCTTAGGAATTCTGCACACCAAACCCACAAATGTTCTATTTTATCTCCAGGATTCATGGAAAAAAGTAAAGAATATTGAATCTAATTGTTGGTTGTAATGAGCAACTAAAAAATCAGCACACATAAATCATCCTCTAGTTTCCTTATTGGAGCTCTGGTAGCATAGTGGCAAAAGCACTTGACTGCTAACCAGAAGGCTGGTGGTTCAAACCCACCAGCCACTCCTTGGAAGGAAGGTTGGGCAATCCTACTTCCGTAGTGATACTGCCTCGGAAACCCAAGGAGGGGTCGCTATGAGTCAGGGCCGACTCAACGGCACATAACAACAACATAACAGTTTCCTTATACATTAGACAGTAATAACATCACTTACTTCACTGAAGTGTTTTAAACATTAACATATATGAAGTACTTAAAACATAACTGAAAGTTATGAGTCAGGTACATCATAACATTTCAATAAATGATACTGAATCATACAGCAATGTGCCCTGGAAAAATATTACCTTTTTTTAAAATTATTATTATTATTTATCTTGGGAGAAGAGGGGTGGGGGAAGAGAGAGGAAGGTAATAGAAAAGAAGTTGTCTAGGAGCACTGGTGGCGTAGTTTCTCGGGCATTTGACTGCTAACCAGAAGGCTGGTGTTTCAAACCCACCAGCTACTCCTTGGAAGGAGGATTGGGCAGTCTATTTCCATAGAGTTACAGCCTCAAAAACCCAAAGAGGGGTGGCTATGAGTCCAGACTAACTGGAAAGCATTGAGTTTGCTTTTTGTTTTGGTTTTGTGCTCTATAGATTTCTTTCTAAACCAAGTCTTTAAGGAGGGTTTCATCCCTGGTATTGGTGCCTCTACTACCAACACCAACAACTATAAAGGAACTTCTTTCACTTTTCTCAAAGAAGGTAAGAATTTCAGCAAAATGTCATAGCAAAATTCCAGCAATCTTTCATCTGATCAAGAAAATATCAAGCCTCATACATCACTAGCCCTGAGCTTCTCTTACAGTAAACTCTCTTTTGAGGCTCTAAGACCACAAAGTTCTTATTCTTCCTGGTAACCACAATCTATTGGTTAGGTAATAGTTTTCTAACATATATCCTTCTATACTACCAAAACCAAACTCACTGCAGTTGGGTTCCGCACGTGGTGTCACTATGGAAGTAGATTGCCCAACTTTCCTTCTGAGGAGTGGCTGGTGGGTTTAAACCACCAGCCTTCTGGTTAGCAGTCAAATGCCTTAGGCACTGTGCCACCAGAGGTCCTTCCTTCTGTACTAGATATCTAAATACATCCTGATACTGTCTTGTTGTAAATAGTATTTTTGCCACATCTTCTCCTATTCCTCATACTCAAAAATATTGAAATTATCTAAGAAGAAAAGATAATTTCATCAAATAAGTGTTACTTATCTAGTACCTACAACTTGAGACAGGAAAAATCTAATTGAAGCAAGAGGAAAGGACACAAAATATTGTCATGCTGTACAATGAAAAGTGAGGCAGAAATGATACTTTTGACTTAATATAAAATATTATCTCGAGTTCAGGATTGTTATTAATTATTCTATATAAGAAGACTCTGAAACTGGTTTACCCATGTGATGGAAATCAGAATGTCTGCTTTTGGGAGAATCCAGGAGAAGTGCATTCTCTCTGCAGGGAATGTGGATTATGCCAAATTGAAGCTACATTTCTCAAATATGAGAATAAAGGCAGGGACAAGAGTATAGCAATCACTTCAATGAATATCAGAACTTCAAAAGTGGAGTAATTGTATTTCTGAAATTTCTATTTCACCCACATAAAATAAGGACATTTTTATTAGGTGAAATACAAACTAGCTGGAGGCTTAAGACAGGATCCTCAACTAAGGGTCTCAGTGACTAATTTGTTTGTCCATGTTTATCAACTTATTCCCTATTTGTGGATCCTCAATTACTGTAGACTATTTTTGTGGTGTATAGACTAGATACGAAAATTTAGAAGAAAGTCTAGCAATTTTCAAGTATCTCAGCTCTAAATGGAAATAAGATGGAGGAAAGAAAGACAAAATAAGATAAATTGATCTAAGAACTTACCTTATAATATGTGATTAATTTCAGTAATAAAAGTCATCTGAGGTTTGTTTCCCTTTCTACATGCTATGTAGAGACACAGGTTTGCAACCTATTATTCAAAGAACAGATACAACAGTGATTCCTTGGAGAGAAATAATTGCTCATTTCCATTCAAGGAACCAATGAGTTGAAGTGCAGAGAATGGAAATTCACACATTCAGAGGAGCAAGAGCTTAACTTGCTTGATGTCCCAGGGGATGGGATTGCTCTTGGGTCCTCAGATTCCCCTGACGAACAGAAAAGCAACAGGAAGAAAGTAATGGGAGGTTTTTAATAGGCATGTACATATTTCCCTATGTATTTGTTAAACCTTTCTGAAAAGAGACCATATCTTTCTGGAACTAATATTTACATCTAAGAGGAAAGAAGGAGGTCATGTGAAAGAATATTTGGTAACAATATATCTAAATTTAAAGGTGAAAGGATGAAACTTCCTTAATGGGAGTCCTTTGGTCATTTCTCCTTCACTTCCGTTTCCGAAGACTTGCTCACGGTAGTCTCTAGCTGCCTTTTATGGAAGGAAAGATAAATTTACTTAGAGTCTAATGTTTCTACACACTTGGACTATATTATTTTATTCATATTTTATAACTGTGCAATATATGGTGTTTCTATTGCACCGATAAGGAAAATACAGATTAAGATAAAGAAACACACTGAAGTTTTCTTCAGCTACAACGATTTTCAAATAGAACATTTGAAAGTCAGTACCATGTTTGCCAATCTCCAAAGCTAATATTTTCTTAATATACAAATCTCCTTATGTAGGGGGATTATTATGATCAAAATCCTTCCTAAGTTTTGCCAGCTGACCAGCTTTCTTTCTTCTCCCAATGTAACTCAGGAGGGCACTGGCTACAAGCTCCTAGACAAGAAGGCTGGGAAAAACTGTGCATTTGACACAGGCGGTTCTCTCCCATCCTCATGGTAGCATTGCTAACCACAGTCTTTCCTTTCTTTATGAAGCTTCTGATGCTTAGTAAAGGGGGGGGGGAGGGGAATATCATTAGAGAAATAGACCTTTGATCTGTGCTTCACTTTCACTTTAGGCAGGGTCAGTATTAACTCAATGTCCAGTTATAAATCTTCTCTTGCAAATCTGTATGTATTCTCAATATCACAAAAGAAGGTATGAAAAGCTATATTATGATCCTCTCTCACACTGACCCCTCCCCTCTTTCCATGTAAATTACTAATTAAATACATGTGGTAGTTGAATTGTCAAATGTTGTGTTATATACGTTTTACCACAATTAAGAAAAAGAGAGAGAAACACATACGCTTACATTATTTGGACAAATGTTTAAAACACAAAAGAAACAAAGTGGGAGGGGAGCTGTTGCACTGTGGGAAATTGGAGTCAATGTAGTGAGACAAGGTGTATGTGAACTGCTGTATGGGAAATGATTTTGCTCTGTAAACTTTCACCCAAATTACAATAAAAATTAAAAACAAAAAAAGCAGATTCCCTCATCTTCTTCCATGGAGCAGCTTGTGGGTTTGAACTGCCAACCTTACAATTAGCAGCCAAATGTCTTACTCACTACACAACCAAAGGGCTACATAACTATATACCTACATAACTATTTCCCAATTTTTTAAGTAATAATGAAATTTTATTGCTGGCGTAAATTACATTGCTTTTAGAAGCATGACTAAACACAACATTCTGCAAGTATATTTTCTTTTGTAAATGAATTGTCTCAACTTTGACAAATTAAGGGTATTATTGCATTGTTTTATTGTAACATGAAATATGCCTTAAAGTTTGTCACTGGC